TGTATGAACAGACATATCTTGCGCACCCCCTGGATGAACAGATGTGACTCCCACATCTGAATATTACAACTGTTCGTGCAGGGGCACAACTGTGACCTTTAGTGTTGGTTTTTCCTTTAGTTAGGATGTGACCTTTGACCCAAAGAACATGCCTGTTGATCTGCTTTTCACGAGTTGGGGGGGTCCTGGGCGAGTGACCCCTTTATGCTATATTTGTCAAACAGGGTCTAAATCGGGTAAAAGCCCTTTTACTCTGCTTCTTGGGGCCTGACTAGGTCCCGGTACCACATCCCCACGGCCTGTCTCCTTTCGAATGTCAAGGCCTAGAACCTTCCCGAATTTCCATGGGTCTGCTGCTTCTTGGGCCTTTGAGTCATGACTTTTCGATTTTAGCATATGGTTTTGAGTGTGGATTGTGACTCCTGCCTCTGAGACACGACTCTTGCCTATGGGACTGCCCTTTCACTCGTGGGATGTGACTCTTCAATATGACTTTTCATTATGAGACGTGACTTTTGCCCCTGAGATGTGACTTTTTGCTGGGTGCCTGTTGGACTGGATTGCTGAGGTACCCAACTGTGACTTTTCTAAATTTGACTACTTCGGTCTTTCTTGGCCAGGTCCTCTGACCCTGTGACCCGAATGTGGGGCCTGAATCATGGTAGGCCTTTCAAATTCTTCTGAGCGCAAAAAACTGCAGAAGTTGGGGTACTTTTTCCGTTGGGCCAGAAGTTGTCGAGTGGCAAAACTAAAAAATGCAACGAATCGGCACGACACTTTTTTCGCGCTCTAAACTGGGCTACCATACCGACACGGGCCCGGCCGTCCAGCTGGGCAGCCGGGCCAGTGCGACCTTGACCCTTTTGGCAGGGTGACCCAGGCGAGTAAAAAACATAGTCATAAGTTCATAAATGTTTTTTTTTTTCCCCTTGATCATGGGGCATTTTTGCGCCCTCCAAGAGGGACCCAAATCCAATCTTTTTCTTTTTTTGGTTCATGTCGTTTTGGAGGGGGCCGCGGGGGGGGTAAGGGTCTTAATGGGGCTTGAAAGGGGTTGAAAGGCCCTTAAAGGGGGTGAGATGGTTTTCCTTGTGCAAGGAACATGAATATGGACGAAGCAAAGAAATCCAGATTGCAAAATCACACTGAAGTCCAAGTAGTCAAAGCAAGAGCAGATAGCACAATGGAACCGAGTAACCATCCATTTGAGAACGATACAGAAGAATCGTGAGTCAATGTCCAAGCCCAATAGGGCAACACCAACAACATAACCCAATGTAGCTCTCTCTCTTGAATGGCGCCAGGTGCCCTACCTACTCTACAGCCTATCACTACAACTACATCATTAAAGCAACCAGACAACTTGACGACCAGCAAGTGATGATGTCAACACCAATGCCGACTTCCCCTCTCCACCAGGTACGTTTCTCTCTTCACCCTCACTCTCCCTTGTTATCCCACACAGCACCTTCGCCCTTCACCTTCTCTGCGCCCTTTAGGCAGCCCGGCTATGGCCGCCAGCGCCCTGTGCCCAGGTAGCGCCCTACCGCTTAGCGCTAGCCTGCCTTTCCCAGCCTAGGGCAGCGCAGCAGCGTGCCGGCCTTGCTCGCATTGGCCAAGATCCCTGCCCACTCGCCCTCCCTGCCTATATGCCAGTGTTGCGTGTGGGCGGCCTCCCTTAAGCCTGCGCCTGAGCCCCAGTACCTGTACCCAGGCCCAATGCGGTTGGGGCCCAGGAGATGTAGTTACGCCCCTTTCATCAAGGCCTGCGGCCAGATTCAGATAGTGGACTGGTTTCCCATTGGCATTTTCGGCCTCTATATCCATCATGCATTGTCGGCCTCACGTTTACGTGCCCAGGGCCTAACCAACTCAGGGGCCCTGGGATTTCTACATTTGCAGAGATCCGATACTCGGTGCACTCCAACCAACTGGCGTGCTGCAACTGTATGGACCCCACTTCGTGAAATGTTTGAACAAAGGGCTCTCGTTGATTTGCTGGCCCGCCTTCACTTAGGGCCGGCACAAGGCTTGTTGGGGGCCTTAGCCCAGAACATGTACATCATGGCAAGGCCCCTTCTTGAGGGCTCAATCCTCACACTTGCACTATTTTTATTTTTATTTTCAAATTCTGTGAAGACTTTGGAAGTGACCCTCAGCCAAAAGTTGTTTGGTTTGCTATTCAGCACAACATACTTTTTTTGGAAACTTCTTGATTTAAAAAAAATATAATTTGTGGGATATGGGCAGGGACCCTGCCCGGCCCAGTTGCCCGGCCGGTGCCAGCTTTGGGGACCCGGGCGGTACGGCTGGTAGCCCAACCTCTGAAGTTTTTTTTTTCATTTTTCTGGTACTTTTCCTGGATAGATCACAACCTAATCTATAGGATCTCCGTTTTCAGATTTTTTTGTGAATTCTTCTGAGTGTGAAAAATTGCCTAGGTTGGCGCTTGAAAAATTGTGGGACTGGACCCGGCTCTGCCTACCAGTGGCCGCCCCCCCTTAAAACCCGGTCTGTAGCGCCAGGAAAGCCGAATTTAATCCGGCGAGGGGGAAGGGGTGGTTTAAGTTCTGAATCAAGGCCGTCAGGGTCTGATCTTCATAGAGTCATTTTAATGCCCCTCGATTTTGGTCTGACGTGAGCTATACTAGTTTGATTTATCTTCCTCACCCCTTTGATTAGGCTCTAGGGGTGTTTCCCTGTGGCCTGAAGGGTCGATCATGGGTCTCACTTCCACGGCCCCACTGGAGGGGGCCCATTACCTGAGGCCTCAGAGAGGTAGCAGGTCCCCTCCTCCAACCAGGGACACGGGCACTCGATATATTGAAACGACGCCTTTTCTTATTAGGAACGTTTTGGAAGCGTCTAGTCTCCGACTATGGGAATAACACGCACCGCGCCTGTAGTCTTTTCAAGAAAGTTAAAAAGACACTGTAACTGTTTTAAGTTTAGGACACCTGCATAAAAAAACAAGGCAAAGATCAGTTAAAGTACAGGAACGAACTCAAATGGAGACATAGAGCACAAGACATTCAACATGTACTCAAAACAGGCTCAAAGTAACTCTAGTGCATGGGTCCTGAAGACCAACTCACGCAAGAGTGTTCACAGCATGC